GGATCCGTTTTGGGCCCTTTACTTTTTAATATTTATATAAATGATATTGTAGAGACTATTCCTGAGAATAATATTATATTGTATGCAGATGATATTGTTATAACATATGCAGATTGGAATCTTCATTTGGTTGAAAATAATATAAACTCTTTGTTATCTAAATTAAGTAAGTACATGGAAAATAATAACTTAAGAGTAAATGAAAATAAAACAAATTATATTTGTTTATCAAATAAAAACAAAAAAGTGAATTTAGAAGATATACAAGTAAGAATAAATAATGAACGTATTCAAAGAGTTAATACTGTAAAATATTTAGGAATCGAAATTGATGATAAGTTACGATGGAACAATCATATAAATAATTTAACACTGTCTTTATCTAGATATATTGGAATACTGAAAAGAATAATGAGTTTTTTAAATTGTGAGACTGTTTTGCGCTTGTATCACGCTTGCATGGAACCTAAACTTCGATATGGTATTTCCGTATGGGGTACAGCTTCTTCTTTTGTATTGAATAGATTGCAAGTTATACAAAATAACTTTATAAGAGCATTATATAAGTTGCCTTATGATTCCTCTGTCACTTCTTTTTATAACCAGATCAAAATTGATAAAATAAAAACTTTATATAAAAAACAAGTTCTTTTGGAAGGTTTTAAACTAATAAAGGTGAGCAAGAAAAAATCTTATATAAGCGAAGAATTAAATAAATATTTTAGGCCTTCTAATTACAACTACCGATGGAGAAATAACTTGCTTTTACCAAAGGTTAAGCATAGTTTTGGAAGAGATGCACCAATTTATCAACTTATATATAGTTGGAATGCCTTAAAAGAAGAATATAAAGAATTGTGTACTTACGGACAATTTAAACGGGCTGTAAAAATATTGATATGTGATTAGTTGAGTGTATTTTTTTTGTTGTTATTGTATTTTTCTTCTCTGTTCTTTTTTATTGTTTTGTTGATTGTATACTTGGTAAACGTCTGTATCATTAATTTTTCTTTGACCCTTGAAAAAGGCCAATGGCCATAGGGTCGTATGATTAAATAAATTAAATAAAAAAAATAATTCTAGACGATAGTTTTTCGTATTTTGGTGTGAGTTTTATATTGATCTTTCTTGTTTCTTTGTCTGTTTCTTCGTACAATTCTCTGATATAAGGGAAACTGATGGATTTCATTTTTGAATCTTCGGCCAACTAAAATTATATATGTATAATTTTAATTGGCTGAAGAGGGGCATGTTACGCCTGAACCGTGTATTTTAAACACGTATCAACTGAACTAAATAAAGATGATAGAACGCCAAGTGTTTGAATTTATTACACTACATAGTGTTTAAGAATCAAATAATAATAATAATAAGCGCAGAGCCCAAACGGTTAGGAGTTGAAATCTGGTACACTGTTAGGGTACGTCAAGAGAACCTACACTAACAAGGAATTTTTCGAAATTCTCATTCGCGGGGGAGAAAGAAAGAAATAAGGCTTATACTAAAGAACTCAGCTTCTACTGTACTATTTTACATGCATTTTTTTAAAACTGCATTTTAGTAGGATATCACGTGGCGATGAAAGAAGTGTATTCCTGACAATGGAAGTAACAGTGGAAGTCTTAAGAGAAAGCTACATGCGTGATTTACAGGCGCCGATGCTGTTTTTAAATTTTGCGGGAAATCCAACATATTTTTAGACTCATCTGAAAATTCTGTAATTAGTATGGAAACGGGGACCTAATTCTTGTATTCTGTGAAAACGGGTAAGATTGGCTATAATGTAATAATCTTAATTTTCGCTATCGTTACCTTTTGCACGAGCGATGCCGGGCTTATCTGCTAGTTATTGAATAAATCAAAATATTTTATAATTGAAAAAATCGTTTTTCATACCATAAGTTNTTAATTTTCGCTATCGTTACCTTTTGCACGAGCGATGCCGGGCTTATCTGCTAGTTATTGAATAAATCAAAATATTTTATAATTGAAAAAATCTAGAAACAAAGTATAACTTTTCTAGCTGTTATAAGATTTTATTCAAAAAATAACTTTTACATTATTATTAATAATCGATGACATTGAGTATGGCAACATCTGTGACGAAGATTTACTGTGAAAAATTTTATAATACTAATTCGTATAAAATGCTAGTTTTTTTAACTTTTAGGATTGTGATGAGCTTCACAAAAAATTGTAAATGCTCATAAGAAATTAAATCGTCAATAAGTCAGATTCCGTTCTACATACAACACGTGACTCCTCTATTTCTTTATTATCTTCATTCTTCACCAAATTCTATTAGTTTAAATGCCCTTCATACAAAAGCTATCATGCTGAATGCTATTTCTTAATTGTTTATTCTATTCTGAGATATTAAACGTAACAAATACCAATGCACGCAAAGGCATGCATATTCAAGGAAGTTTATTCCTTTTTAACAATTTTGATTTCGGTCGGTAAAATCATTGAAATTTGCAAACAATTGGAGAATCAACTTTGATATCATTCCAACATTTCCTTTTCTTATATATATACATAATAGTAGGGAATGTAAGACGATACGAGATTTTGACATTAAAATTATGTTTGTTTTTATTTTTTTTTTTAAATTAACAAAAGATATCGATAATTTTGTATGAAATTCTGTTCTTACTGTAATTAAATATTAAAGTATGTTTTATTTACGATGCAACAATAAATGAATGTCCAATGACTTTTCATTAGTGAATATTGCAGGACAAATGTGACAGTTGAATAGGCACGCAGATGATTGGTTAGAAGTTCTGTTCGAAACGGTTTGTTGTTCTGCACTTTCTGAACAGAAACTCTGAAGATATTGTTTTGATTTTTCACTTTCGTTTAACAGTTTGTCATTTTCTGTTTCTGAATCTATAATTTCTATTTCAGTTTTATCTTCAAATCTCGCTGAATCTCTTAAATTTATTGTCTCGATTTGTTTTGTTGAACATTCACCTTCAGATTCCTCAACAACAGTTTGGGAACTTTCAGATTTTTCTGTAATTTCCTATAGAATAAAATTTTTAGATGTTACAAAAATATCTTTCACAATTAAAAAAACTGTTTAGTATTAAAACCATTAAACCGATATTAAAATAAATTCTGGATCTACTGAAAGTTTGTCGTTTAGTTTATTAATAAACGAGCAAAAAATTATGGAAAACATTTAATTCCATTTAAAATCATTTAAAAGTAACAAATGCTTTACTTACAAAAACAGCATATTCTAAGATATGTTACCATAAAGAGAGCAAAAATCTTTTCTAAATTGAAAATAGGAGTGAGATAATTTCAATTTCTTTGTTATAAGTAATATTTATTGTTGTAAGTGCAACAAAGTCTTTTTTTTGTGTCGTAGAATGTGTCACATAATAAAATGATCAGTTCAGTATTTTGTTTCGAAAATTATTAAGTAAATTTCAAGCAAAAACAAATGCAAAAAAGTAGTGTTTCAAACACAATGTCATACGTAAACTTTCTGAATTTAAAAATTATTGTATCAGAAAATGTTTTATCATATAAAATTAATTTCTTGCAATAAGGAAATTACTCCTTGTTTCGTCCAATGCTTTTGAGTGCATGGTTTGTCTATCTTGTTTGTTAATGAGAAACAGTACACCAGAAGAAAAGCTCAAATTAAAACCATAAAAATTTTATAAATTTTCATGCTGTCAATCCTGTTTTGGATTTGTTTTTTCTGTGATAAAACTATTTATTGAAATATTCGAATTTTTAAAAATTTTATAAAGCATTAAACAGCTCAGGCTACAACTTTATGAATGACATTATGATTGTATGAGACCAGTCACATATTTCAGAAAAAATATATTAGTTCCACAACACTATCAAGAGGACCGTAGAATAATGTGAAATCTTAATAAGTCTAACATCGTGTGTCCATCCTTATTTCTAAGAAAAGTTTTTTAAAGCCCTTCTTTTCGTCTGCAAGACTAAAAGAAATGACATAACTTTTTATTTTTTACATACTTTTTCTGTAAAAACACTTTTTGTGGGGGGTTTTATTTCGCAGGAATTATTTCCCGGAAATTTTTTTGGATGTTAGATTCGCGTTTAAGCGAAAATAATTATTTCATTCAAAAAATGAATTTTTTGTGGATTTCTTAATTGCATTTGAATCGGAACATGGGTAGCAAAGGAGTTAAACAAATGTGTTTCTGGCCTCTACTACGTTGTAACATTGCCGTGCTGAGCTGAGTTGACCTGGAATGTCGAGCACCTTCCTAAGTCAAGCTGCTCCAGTGTGGATCTTTCTAAATTCATTTGAGTGTGAGATTACGAGGGCACAGGGGTAATTCCCTAATTGCCACTTACACGTCAAGTTTGTAAAACTTGCCCACTTTGTCGTTCGGATGGCTTTTATCGAGTGGCGAGGAAGGTGTGCAAGTCGGCAGGCGTCCTTTCAGAGAGGGAAAATAGGTTTAACAAAATAACAAAGCGTTTATTATACGGCTAACACTAAAATACAGGAGGCTACACAGAGTTAAATGCATATATCTATAGGTTATATAGGCAAGAGGCGATTAACATAAGATTACAAAGTCTATGATTGACAACTGCTTAGTCTATTCTATGACAGCTATGCCTACTTCCCTTACGAGAAAGGGTTGGCAGTCCACTGATAATTACCTCTAAAGTTAGAGGAGTCCTATAGGCGATGATGACAGTTTTTTATGAAAGCGTTGGGCGTTGTCAATGTCTTCTACCGTTGTCTTCTTTGGGAACTAGGTCGAGTTTGTTCCATGGAGGTGCGCCAGACGGGGAATCACTAAGACCGCTTATAACTTCCGTGTGCGAACTCTCGAGCTTCCGGTGGCTCGCTTTTATATCATTGTCGTGGGAAATCTAACACGCGATAGACTTTAGTTGACGATGAGGGTGCATTCTTGACAGCTATGTGTCAACTTTCCGACTGACTTGTTACTACAACCAGTGACCTCTGATCTAATTTCTCCCTCGCCATTTTTTCTAACGAAGACGTTTACATTTTGAAAACAATTGACATAAAATTTTTGATTTTAATAACCCCGTGAAAATGCGCGGGCTCACGTGAACATTGCAAAAAATACACATTTACTGCATGCAAAGTACTAAACTATACAATTTTAAAAATTGTATATCTGACCATCAGCAACATGAGGAATCGTGTATATTTCAGAAAGCTTTTGTGACATTAGTATTAGGATTGATAATATAAAGCACCACAACACGTAGGCAATCTGTCAAAGGAATTTGCATTCCGAATTACTTTCTATGAGAAACTGCTCTTTATTTCGGTTTTAAACATGTGAAAAATTGTCGTAAGGCTCAATGTGATGAGCGGTGAATGAAGTGCAAACCTGCAACTTCAACAAGTGTTCAGTAATTTTACCCATTAGGTCGCTGGTGGGCTATTTCGCTGTTAGTAGAGAAATTATAAGTCCACTCGCTTTTCTGTTTCCACAAAATTTTCTTACTTCAGATAACACGTCTGATTTTTTACATCTCAAATTACATACCAACTAGATTATTGTAACTACAAGCAACTGGTTTTAATATAAGAGAATAATAATCGTTTGGGTACAAATTAAAACACAGGAAAAAATCTATGATTACATACTGTACAATAATAAATAGATATAAGTATATAATTTCTCATAGTAAAGAAAGAACAAATAAAATATTACAATACGTACTTCAAAAAGAGAATGACTTTGAAGGTTGTGTCTGTCTAAATGATCTAATTCGATATATAGTTTATCGCATTGATTGCAGCTCACTAATTCCTTTGAACTTGCTATCTTCCGGAGTGTATGATGGTTGGCATTGATGTGCACTTTCAAGTTAGTTATTGTTGTATACTTTTTATCACAATAACCACAATGAAATGGCCTATATTTCGTAGGATGACTCATGATTTCAGTTACGTGTACTTTCTTAACCTAAAATCCAAATAAAAATTTCTCATTTATATAAATTTCGGCGTTATAAATGGTTTCGCTTTGTAACTTTACTGATTTTTTCGATCTAATAACAATTCGTTAATTATTTTATTGTTTCTTCACAAAGCATTGAAATTGATGTTATTGTTAACCAATTAATCAAGACTTATCAGATGATCATGCGGCTAAAGGTTCAATCTAATATTCTTAAAGATCTGGGATTGAATCCTCGCGAAGAAAGTCTCCAAGAAGTTTTAAAGGTGATCTGTCTCAAATATGTCTGGTTTCATTTCTTTTCAACCAGCTGCCGTCTTGTTAGCACGATAATCACGATGGTCCAACAATGGCATTTTCGCTGCTTACTAGTGTCAGAAAAAGTGAAAAATCAAATACTAAAACATTCAGTTTTGAATAATTATTCTAAATATTGGATTATAAATATAGGATACAAATAATAAATGCTGATTTATTCCTTATTGTAACTTAAATGTTTTGAAATTTCCAGTAGAGGTATTTAACTATTTCAATTTAAAGTAAATTAAGCTTTTACTAAATACAATGAAGTGATATGAAAATGAAGTGCTGCACATATGAAGAAAACACAGATCACTGCACGAGCCAGCTAGCTGAAGAGGCGTGAATCCACAACCAGTGTTAATACAGGGTGGGATAAAAGGTCACTTAACACCCTTGCTACAAAATATAAAATGTTCTCAAAATTAATTCGTTCATGTCTGGAACATATTAGACCAAGTAGGAAACAGATTGATGTGTGTTACACACATAGCCGCCATAAAGATGGCGGTCGTATTAAATGCAACTCCGAAACTGTAAATGGAAAACAGGTCATGCCACATATCATTACGGGTCAGAATTTCACAAGGAATTGGTTGCTGAACGATGTTATTGACCTACCTGGAACGGTTAAAAAATTATGCACGTTACATGATGTGCTCAACTTACATTCTTTGAGTACATCCTATGCTCTATAGCAGGAGTATGAAGTAAATTTTCCCCACCCTGTAGTTTTAGATACTTAGCCTAACTTAGCGCTAAATGTGCGATTTTCATTTAAGTGTTAAACTGAAAACTTCGTTTTCAACAAAAAGAATATAAATACTAATTCTCTTGAAATTTCTACTAATACTATTTTGAAACTAAACGACCGAATATTATTTAAACAAAACATTTTAAACATTTTAAAAAACTTTAAATAAAATAATTCTATTGTAATATCACTTTCATTTATTTACAGTTTTGTAGAAATTTTATTTTAATTTTACACTTATAACAGCTTATAACTTTTAAAACTTTACAGAAATGTAACGAGAAGACATTTACTTTTCTGAAATACGTTTTTATTATTGTGAAGCACTACAATAAACAGTTTTATAAATGCAATTATGTGAAAGACTCTTCATTGCATTTATAAAATATATTTTGAAGTTTGCGCAAATATTAAGATTTTAATATGGTGTCAAATCCTTATACAGTAGAGCGTCGTTTATCCGAATCAAATGGGAACAAGGGTTATTCAAATAACTTATTTTTCGGATAACCGATTATGTACGAAAAAATACATTAACCTATCCCGTTTTGAAATTTTTTTCTGTTGCATGTCGCTTCGTGTTGAATTTTCGTCGATGTTAAGCCTAACGTAAACTTTTTATAATAATAATCGTGGCCATTGTATCGTTAAAAATTATTTCTTTAGTTTTTACAAACAAAATAAATATATTGAAAAATATAAAAACAAAAAAAATTATACTTTAGAAGTTATCTAGTATCAAAAACGTTCGATTCAGCATGACACACAGTCCTCAAAAAAACACCACACAAAAGTGACAGTGCTGCTAGCAAAAACACACACAAACATAAAAAATATTGGAGTAGCCCAAGATATAGCCAAAGATTGCAGCGCCACAGCACTAACGAAAATTTAAATTTTCCGACTGGAATTCTTTCGGATAACAGACTTTCGGATAAACGACGCTCTACTGTATTATATTTAAGATATGATTTAAACGCGACGAATGTGTAAAAAATGTTTAAAAATTGAAGAAATTGGAAGATTTAAAATCATTTTATTACTTCAAATATTTTAATGTTCTAACTTTGGAAATTACAATTTAGGAAATGTTTTATAATATAATTAAATATAAAGAAAATTTTGATTTCGATAGAAAAGTGATCATCATCTGCTCTTAACTATTAGATTTTGTAGAACAAGAGATCCTTTGAATTTTCTTAATTAATCTGAGTCTTTGATGGAATAAAATTTTTGTCCATACTTTCCGAACAAAATTGCAAATTTTCTGGTGGATCTTCAACATTTTTTTTCTTCTGATTTTTACTCTTCAAAAATTCAAGTACCATTTTATTTTTACGTTCAAATTGTTCTGAATTTTTAAAACCTCTCTCGTCAACACCACTTTCTTCCACTGATATTTGGAAATCGATTTCAGGTTTTGCAGAAATTATCTGTACATAAAAATGTCTTATAATCAAAAAAATTTTTACTTTACTAACGTGTTTACTAATAAAAATAAAAAGCTACTTATCCGACAATTCTAATATGTAAGTGTCTTAATACACTTCAATCGATATCATTCAGTTTATTAATGAAAATGAAGAACCGCGAAAAAAGTTAAAAGATTAAAATAATTTATTTCGATTTACGTATGAATTTTATTCTTATTTAAGTACTAAAATTTTGAAATAATTATACTATAGAAATTACATATATTTTGATTACATTCGTTGTAAGTAATAATAAGAAAAAGACGATAAGAGAGCTTATCAACATGTTTCATGTATTTAGTAAGTTGCCTTTTAAATCATGTGTTAAGTTTCGTAAATACTGTTTTTGTTTGTAACATGTGGAAGACAAAAGAAGAAAAAAGCCAGTTTTCGGTATAAAATTACTGTTTTCATACAATAGATTATTTTTTTCCAATCTGTTATAGCTAAATGATTACGATTCGTTACATATTTAACGTTATTACTTTGTATAATATTGCATACAGCAATATAATATAAGTAATTACATTTCACGATGTACACATATGTAATGTAGACATACGCACATAATAAATAATGAAAACTTGTAATGAAATACCTATTACACATTATTACAGTGAAATACATTCCAGTGTGATAAAATGTACCGTAACTGTTTTCATAGGAATAAAATAACTAAGATAAATAAAATATAACACGCTATCATGCTATCCAATATTATATATATATATNAAATACCTATTACACATTATTACAGTGAAATACATTCCAGTGTGATAAAATGTACCGTAACTGTTTTCATAGGAATAAAATAACTAAGATAAATAAAATATAACACGCTATCATGCTATCCAATATTATATATATATATTTATTTATTTATTTATTTATTTATTCATTAATTGAATGATTCATGTCTATTTTAAATTTTACTAAATTTTACTATTATTCAAGTTAAACTATTTGTCACTGGAAACAGGTTTTCAAATAATACGCACTTTTGAATAAAACTTAAACAGAAAGCCTTGCAGGTTAAAATGGAAGAAATCTTTGTTATACAATCTATCTGAATAAGAATCGTCCAAACGTTTATGTTCACGATTTATATGATCTTGCAACTCTTCCAAATTATTAAACGATTTACCACAATATCTGCATTGATGTGATCCATCCTTCCAATGACTACCGCCGATTTCCAAAATATGCATTTTTTTTTCTGTAGATAGGCTCCAATTTCTAACCTCCAAATTAATTATAATTCTAAATTAATCTATTTTTTTCCACTCAGATCGACTTTTTGAATATGCAATTAAAACGGTAGCCCCAACAATTACACAATTATAACGTTATAATTATTATAATAGTTCATTGTTAGTTATTATCCATTTATTGTCTGGTATATACGAAAATTATGCAACATTATTTTTTAAATTTTTTTATACTTACTGCTGTAATAAATAATATTAATGTTTAAAATTATTAATTACTTAATTTTAACGATTACCCTGAAGAACTCCGCTTCTACTATACTATTAAACATGCTGTCTTTACTTAAGACTTAAACCTCTAACACAAAGATGAGAGTGATTTTTTCACATATCCGTGATTTTTCTACCAATTGCCTGTTATAAGGTGTGTTTCAAATTTATACGGACACGAAAAAATTAAAGTGAAACACAAATTTGCTGCTTAAGTGACAAATGTTTTATTAAAAATAATATGCATTTACATGTTTCTACACTGCAAAATAAGAATTTTAATCAAACATTAATATTTTGTCACGGGAAGATAATATTTTTGAAAATCTTATACAAAAAACCTGTTACATATTTATCCGGACAGGTTTCAAATTGCAAAGTTTTCTTACAATTTAATGGCCAATGTAACCACCATTTAACTTAATTACATTAAATACTCGATTAGGCATTGTTTCAATTAGATTCTGAAGGAATTCAATCTTAAGTTTATCCCAAGCATCTGAAATTGCTGCCTTCAAATCATGAATTGTGGAAAACTGCTTTCCATTGGCATAAACTGTACGAACCATCATCCCCCAAAGATTTTCCATCGGATTCAGGTCAGGGCTTCTAGCAGGCCATGTCATCAGATTAATATTTTTACGTTTAAACCACATTTTTGTTNGTAGGATTACTTACCGAGTGTGCACCATTCGACATCGCCATTGCTCAAGCTTGTTTTCGTCGCGGAGCAGCACACGAAACCGCGGCCGATTTTTGATAACTTATTTTTCTGCGAAAACTTCATTAAACATTGGAGACATCGTTAATATAAATAATTTTTATGGCGTTGAATTAGAAATATTTCTTTCACAAGAAATGTATAAAATTAGAGTACTGTATTAGACTTACGATACCTAATTTACATACTGTACAGACGATAGTAATCTCTTTGTAGCGTGGCGCTGTAGTAAGTAGTTTGGCTGCCCACTGACGTTTTACGTAATTATAGGAGTTTTTACCGTTTTATACGGATACCGTCGCAATTTTTTCGCCGTCTTATAGGAATCGTAATTATAGGAACCCGTTTTATAGGGAGGTCTACTGTACAAGAATTTAGAAAAGTAGTTCTTAGTGAGTGTTCTGTACTTTTGTTTCTAATATTTTCGATTTTACATTGATTCTATCTGTAAGATAACGTCTTGTTATATGTTCGTGAGTAAATGAAAATTACGTTGTGTCATTTATATTCTTGAAAGTAAATTTATAAAAATTTCGTCACATCTTATCGATATAAAGTTTATTACGATTTATAAAATTTTATTATGAATTTAATATAATAAAAATATATTATTTCACGATACTGTGATATAAAAAAGTAGAAGAAAAGATGACATTAAATGAAATCTTTAGACACAGTGAAGAACAATTTATAAAATCAATCCACATATCATTTAGTATTTAATTAATAATTGACTTGCCAGTTTAAAATATATTATTAAGTGGATATTTTTGTTATTTAATAACAGCAGTAATTAAATCAGACTATCAGTTTATACAATAAACATTACTTATATAAAGTAAATATTAGTAAAATCTAATTCAGAAAATAAACTAAGCACAATAACGTGATTTTGTATTATATAATATCATTTGAAATAATTTTTTTACATTTATTTTTATTTATTTATTCTCAAAGTTCTGTACATTTCTTAACATTTTTCAATGATTTTTACATTCTTCAACAGCTTTAAATAGCTTTGTGAGTAGCTAGCCGGGGATACGAAGTAACTATGACTCTTGTACCACTTAATCGGCAAACTATTCTTGTGAATAGCCCTCTGTTTGTCTAGAAGGAATGGTTTTCCTAATTCAAGGAAATCGAGTGCAGAGGGCTTTAACTAATATGTTAAAAGTAGGATATAGGGGATGAGTCCTAGACCTCGTCAGGATCCTTGACACCAGTTAATCAGATTTATATTACGCGGATTAACACGCTTATGGGGAAGTTATGGAGATGATAAAATATTTCGATTCAGACATTATAAGAGACCTTTCTTTAATATAAAAACGAGTATTTAATAACAAGGGAAAATTATACAACATAGAATTACAAATACATCTATTTAGGCTATCGCGGAGAAAGTGATCACAATTTCAATTTCAATCAAAATCATACTACCTCTAAATATATTTATCTTCTTTTGTATTTCAGATTAATACTAATGTTCTAAGGAATATTCTTCCGTATACTATTATTTAATATAGGATTTACTTTGTTAAAGATTTTTCATTATCGACCTACATATTTTTCCTGTAATATATCTGTTTATAATTATCAGATGTAAAAAGATAATATACTTATTGAAATCCTGCATACAGATGTAGTAGGTATATTTAGAAGTCACAGTTATGAACCAAAACATTTGTTACAGTAGTAAACCGAGGAATTTTGTAAAGAATAAAAAAATTAAGTAAAATTTAGACTGAACTGTATATTATCTAACTTATATTCATTTTCTAGACTTCACTTTGCACTTAATCTACTGTGACCTGTATGGTATTATATTTACTTCGTAGATATTAATAAGGAATATTTTAATAATATGTATACCTTTACAATGCTTAAATTCCAAAATAAAACATTAGTACAATTTACATAAACGAAGATTTAACGTGTTTTCATTCTGATGCGAAATTTGATATGATCATTCGACCTAAATATTTAATAATTAGTATTTTTTGTAACGAAAATAAATCAATTTTAATGCAATAACACGGAATACTGTCGATAAAAAAGTAATTACCCTGATAAAATTAATCATTTTATTAACTTTAAATTATAATGCTAAAAACAATTAAAGTGCTTTATAAGTTCTTAATCTATTAGAGAACATTAAACTGTTTATCATTATTGAAGGGTATTTACATTTATAAATAGGAATCTGATAAATACAGATATAAAATTATCAAGTTAAATGTAGATTAAGTACAAACTCTCGTTTGAAATCGGTTCTACTCTTTCCTGTTCTAGAGATTTTGTAAAAGCTTAGATTTGATATAAGTCCAGCCCATTTTAAATGAAAACAAACCCTTTGAAAGGAAAGTGATGAATATTATTGAGAATAAAGAACTCGATGAAGATAGACAATATTCATGGAACCAAAAAGAACTACAGTCGACCTCCCTATAAGACGGTAGATACGTTCTATTCTTTAGGAATCGATTTCTTACGAGTCCTTGCCAATCACATCCCGAAACGTGTCAAGTTTACAGACTACGGCTGTTTGAAAGGTTTTCTTCCATAAAATTAATCGATTCTAGACTAATCCGACTTAACATTTTCAAAATACGTATATTATTTGGGGGAATAATTCGTATAAACTACGCTATAAACAAAAAATTGTAGGATTACTTACCGAGTGTGCACCATTCGACATCGCCATTGCTCAAGCTTGTTTTCGTCGCGGAGCAGCACACGAAACCGCGGCCGATTTTTGATAACTTATTTTTCTGCGAAAACTTCATTAAACATTGGAGACATCGTTAATATAAATAATTTTTATGGCGTTGAATTAGAAATATTTCTTTCACAAGAAATGTATAAAATTAGAGTACTGTATTAGACTTACGATACCTAATTTACATACTGTACAGACGATAGTAATCTCTTTGTAGCGTGGCGCTGTAGTAAGTAGTTTGGCTGCCCACTGACGTTTTACGTAATTATAGGAGTTTTTACCGTTTTATACGGATACCGTCGCAATTTTTTCGCCGTCTTATAGGAATCGTAATTATAGGAACCCGTTTTATAGGGAGGTCTACTGTACAAGAATTTAGAAAAGTAGTTCTTAGTGAGTGTTCTGTACTTTTGTTTCTAATATTTTCGATTTTACATTGATTCTATCTGTAAGATAACGTCTTGTTATATGTTCGTGAGTAAATGAAAATTACGTTGTGTCATTTATATTCTTGAAAGTAAATTTATAAAAATTTCGTCACATCTTATCGATATAAAGTTTATTACGATTTATAAAATTTTATTATGAATTTAATATAATAAAAATATATTATTTCACGATACTGTGATATAAAAAAGTAGAAGAAAAGATGACATTAAATGAAATCTTTAGACACAGTGAAGAACAATTTATAAAATCAATCCACATATCATTTAGTATTTAATTAATAATTGACTTGCCAGTTTAAAATATATTATTAAGTGGATATTTTTGTTATTTAATAACAGCAGTAATTAAATCAGACTATCAGTTTATACAATAAACATTACTTATATAAAGTAAATATTAGTAAAATCTAATTCAGAAAATAAACTAAGCACAATAACGTGATTTTCTATTATATAATATCATTTGAAATAATTTTTTTACATTTATTTTTATTTATTTATTCTCAAAGTTCTGTACATTTCTTAACATTTTTCAATGATTTTTACATTCTTCAACAGCTTTAAATAGCTTTGTGAGTAGCTAGCCGGAGATACGAAGTAACTATGACTCTTGTACCACTTAATCGGCAAACTATTCTTGTGAATAGCCCTCTGTTTGTCTAGAAGGAATGGTTTTCCTAATTCAAGGAAATCGAGTGCAGAGGGCTTTAACTAATATGTTAAAAGTAGGATATAGGGGATGAGTCCTAGACCTCGTCAGGATCCTTGACACCAGTTAATCAGATTTATATTACGCGGATTAACACGCTTATGGGGAAGTTATGGAGATGATAAAATATTTCGATTCAGACATTATAAGAGACCTTTCTTTAATATAAAAACGAGTATTTAATAACAAGGGAAAATTATACAACATAGAATTACAAATACATCTATTTAGGCTATCGCGGAGAAAGTGATCACAATTTCAATTTCAATCAAAATCATACTACCTCTAAATAT